ATATAATATTAATAAAATACTTGTAATTTTTAATATAGTTATAGTTATTATCAACTCTTCCTAATGATTACTTTTTTCCCACAAAAATCCAAAATTCTTAAAAAATACAAGCATCTGTAAAGGTAGAAACAGTCTGGGAAGTAATCTTTAAGCTTCGTAACTTGGCAGTTGTTATTTAGAAGTAGTTCTCATATGCTATCTGCTAACTTTCTCAGAGTTTATTACTTACCACGGGGGCCAGGCACTTGTCATTTAGAAATAGTTCTCATACGCTATTTGCTGACAAGCCCAGAGTTTATCACTTATCTGAAAAAATAAAGAGAGTACCAGCACCTTTCTATAAATTCAGTGTGTTGAGTAAGGAAAATACACACTCTTTTATTAAACAAAACAAAGTAGTTTCGTCTCTTTTCTCCACCTTCTCGCCGCTCTTCCAAAATTTCTCACAAAAGTGGACAAAACAGCTTACCCTCTCCAAAAGATTGGCATTGTTTATACCTCCCAAATCTGAATAGTTCCAGCAGACTGTGATCATATGTCTGGTTTGTTTTGTTTATAGACCATGCTGCTTCATGTAATACCAAGATTGGCTGCTTACTTTGTTTAGGAGTCCAGATGATTTAGTTGGAAAATTTTATTTAATAAGGCAAAGCTTTACACTAGAGATATACAAATATCATATTTGTTATATAATTTTTTCAAGCTTAGCACAGGTAATAGTAGTGCTAAAAAGACAGAATTTTCTGATATTCTTTTTGTTTTCTTTTCTTTGTAATTTTTCTTTTATATTCCCTTTCATATTTGTTTTCTTTCTTTATATTCTTTTTTGTTTTTTCTTTTTCCCTTTTGCTTTTGCCATTTTCATTTTATTTGTATTTTTTGTTATTTTACCCTCTTTTGTTGTATACCTCTTTAAAGAAGGAAAAATATTAAGAAAAAGGCAATCTTGACAAAGCTAGCAATAAGCTTTTAGTGCTTTTTTCGGGAAGTTATCTAGTAAGTTAGATGCCGGAGAGGAGTGAATTATTGCTACAGCAGATCACACTTGAGTACCATTACGAGCAGCCGAGTGAGTCTTTATTGAAGAGTAGAAGGCATTTAGTTTATTGCAGACTTTTTGTTCAGAAACTATGTATTTAGATTATGCATTCCTAATACAATAAAGGCAGGATTGCCAAATTTTTAAAAAAAAGAAAAAAAATACTTGTAATTTTAAGAGTTTTAATTTTATATATTAATTATTATAAATCATATTTGTGAATATATTTATTTTTATGTAAACATTAAAAAAAAAATTATATTCACAAAAATCATTAAATTTTTTTTGAATTTTCAATACTGATTTGAAATTTGGGTTTATCTAATTGGAATTTAGGTTTGGGTAAGATTTTGAAGATTTTTAGTTTTGCCAACATGTATAGCTATACCTCTCCCTTCTATGCAATAGATAATTGGTCAATCAAATTTTATTATTTAATTATAATAAAAAAAAAAAAATTAAAAAATTAAAAATTTTCACCTTTTAATATTAAAAAAAAAAAAAAAAAAAAAAAAAAAAATTAAAAATTTATATTAATTTTTAACTATGAATTTCTCAACAACTGTTTATTAAAATTAGATAAAATTTTTACTATAAATAAATATGGTATTGGGCTACAAAATACCAAAATTTGGATAAATAGTTTTTGAAAAATTAATTAAAAACTACAAGTAAATTTTTTAATAAAATTATTTAAGTTTTTAATTAATTTCTTAAGAACTACTTATCAAAATTGTATAAAATTTTAGTATATAGTAGCTCAATACCATATTTATCTATAGTAAAAATTTTATTCAATTTCAATTATTAGTTATTGTAGCTCAATACCATATTTATCTATAGTAAAAATTTTATCCAATTTTAATTATTAGTTATTAAGAAAATTATAACCAAAGTTAATATAAATTTAAATATTAAAAATATATATATAATTTAAATAATTATATATATATATTAACTTCTAGCTATAAATTTCTCAACAACTACTAATTCAAATTGGATGAAATTTTTACTAAAGATAAATATGCTATTTAGCTACAACATACCAAAATTTTATGCAATTTGGATAAATAGTTCTTGAGAAATTAATCAAAAACTATAAGTAATTGTTTAAAATTACTTATAATTTTTAATTAATTTCTCAAGAATTACTTGTCCAAATTGTATAAAATTTTGGTATATTGTAGCCCAATAACATAATTATCTACAGTAAAAATTTTATCCAATTTGGATTAGTAGTTGTTGAGAAATTTATAGTCAGAAATTAATATAATTTTATAATTTTTATTATATAATAAATACTTTAATATTATTGGCTATTTATATAATATATATATATAATGTGATATTTTGAGGACCCCCCTCTCTAAAAAAATTATGTGATTTTCTGCCCTCCTCTAATCATAGACTTCAGATTAGTATAGCAGGTTGTACTTGGGTATTTTAAAAACAACTGAATGATATTGGGTTTGCAAATTAGAAGTATATTAATTTAATAATATACTTAAAATCTTAATAAATTACTAGTAAAACTGCCTAAGTTTAAAAAAAAATTTATTAATAAAAATAAATTAGCTAATTTTAAACACCTTTATTAAATTGTTATTTAAATTGTTATTTAATCTATTATTAAAATTAATTTCTTTATTATCATTTTTATTTTTAATATATTATTAAAAGAGAACTAGTATTTTCGCATTTTTTTTTAGTAGTTTTATACCCTATGTAGATTACTTATTTTTAAAACTTTTATTGAAGTTATCTCGACAACCACTAAGTGAAATTTGATAAACTTTTTTTTTTGAATTCTATTGATTTATAAAATTCAAATAAAATAAAGTTTATTAAATTTTATTTAGTGGTTATTAAGATACTTTTGATCAAAGTCATATATAAATTTGTCACAGCTAATATTTTAATAGATGTTAAAATTTTTCTAAAACTTTTATCAAAGCTATCTTGACAACTACCTAATGAAATTTGATAAAATTTTTATATTTGAATTTTGTTAATCTATAAAATTCAAGTAAAAAAATTTTTTATCAAATTTACTGGGTAGTTGTCAAGATATTTTTAATAAAATTTTAAACTATATAGATTATAGCAAATTTGTACATGACCTTGATCGAAGATATCTTAACAACCTCTTAATAAAACCTAATAAACTTTTTTTATTTGAATTCTATGGATTTATGGAATTCAAATAAAAAAAATTCAATGAATATCACTAAGTAGTTGTTAAAATAGCTTCAATAAAAGGTTTAAAAAAAATTTTATATCTATTAAATATTAGCTATGACAAATTTATGCATAACTTTGATTGAAAGTATCTTGACAACTGCCTAATGAAATTCAATAAACTTTTTTATTTAAATTTTATGAATCAATAAAATTCAAAGAAAAAAAGTTTATCAAATTTCATTAGAAAGTTGTTAAGATATCTTTGATAAAAGGTTTAAAAATAAATAATCTATATAGAGTATAAAACTACCAAAGAGATGTAGAAATACCAGTTTTCTATTAAAATTAATTTCTTTATTATTATTTTTTTTTTAATTAAAGGAGACCTTCTTGGTCAGCGATTTTTATTAAGTCGAGTTCAGGTACTATACATTTAGACGAAGGTATATATAGCCACACGTGCACCTTTTGAGTGTCTAATTTATGTAGTCCACCTGAAGGTTCTACACTATTTGCCGTATCTGCACCCCAACTAGGGGGGTACTTATTTAAACTCTCTGATCTTAACCTATTTTCCTAACGCCCATCTTAACACGGGTGTAACTCACTACTAGGGTATGTAGGTTTTGCGACACTACTACATAAACAGCCAACTTAAGACACTTTACTATCCTTGAAGGTAAGCCCAACAGAGTGGTACATATCTCACACATGCATTTACCTGCATGTTCTGTAATATCTTCCTAGTTAGTACATGTTGTGCTGCCGACACTGAGTCCGTATCTCAAGCTACTCTTTAGAGTACTGCCATAACCCGATCCGTATCTCAAGCCACAACCTTCCTAATTAGTTTCCCATTATGTACTCATTGCCCTTAACAGTTTACAACAACTCTAGTACCCACACTTGGAACCATCTCCTTACCCTGATTCTCTATCAGTCCCTCCCTTACTTCCAGCCGGCAACCCGGAAGAGTTGGTCTGTTCAGGCTTTAGGTGCTTGAATAATGCCCTCCTCTTGGTTCATACTTTCAGAGCATATGCTCTTTTTCTCTGGTGTGACAATCCAGCGGTTTGGCTAGTGTGTTCTCTACCATAGAACCTGGTCACTTAGTTCTTCGATCTTGGGCCCCAGTTTGAATTCAGCCCTCCTGTAGTACTGTCGAAGATCACAGTTACATCCAGATTCAGGACTTCCCAAATGAGTTTTTAGTTATGCCGGTTTCTCGGGTTTATTGTGCCGAAGCTCCCATTACAAGATGGTGTAACCAAAGTTACAGATTTAGTTCTAGATCCAACCGATAAGCATAGCCGTCAACCGAATACTAATCTATTTTTCAAATATTATCGCCAGTGGGATTTGAACTTTAGACCTGCCACTTGGAGAGGATGACGACTAAACCACTACACTAAGTTGCCACACCATTTTATATTAATATTGTTATATTATATTTAGCTATATATTTAATATTTATTTATTTGAATTCAAAACTCTATACTAATAACTAAATAAGCTAGTATGACAATATCATGTAGCCACTTATTTTATAATTATATTCAATTACCTAATAACAAATTATAAAAAGTGAGTTGTTCGATATTATCTTGAAAATTTGTAATAAAAACCATTTGGCATCTTGACTAGTAGGAGGATAAACTATATTATCTAAGTCATCGAAATCTAAATCCTTCTCTTGTTGTTCTTCTCTTAAAAGTGCTAACCAATTTGCAATAATTTCTTCTCATTGAATAATAATAATAATATTATTATTATTACCTATTTAATTGTATTCAAAATTAGATTCTTGTGATAAATCTTCATCTTCAGAATCAGAAGTTATAGGTGGTAAAATATTAGGATTGTGAATTTGTTTTGCAGATTTTTCAACAGCCTTTAATTTGCGCTCTTGGATAATTCTCCCTTGAAATTGACTCATTTCAAGAACCTTTTTATGCTAAAAATAATAGTTAACATTAAAAATAATTAAAGTATTTAAAATCTTAAAGATTGCAATTCAATAATATTATATAACTTTGAATATGCAAAATATATATGTTCTCTAATTGAATTAGCTCATTTTATAAATCAGAATAATTCCAATCTGAGATATAATATTAATAAACTTAAAACTAACTAAAGCCTAAGATATTTAATAAGTTATTTTAAGATTGTATATAATACTATTAATACTGTGATCTTTAAGTTTAGATCAAATTAATTTAGCATACCTTAAGCCTATTTTTGCGTTTACTATGTAGAAATCCCATAGTTAAAAATAACCCTTCAACAGAGGCACTATTGACACAAATTCCAAATAAATGAAGTGCCAGATTTGCAAGATCTTTATGGGTTCCACATTTAATAAAAGCCCAATATTTAATTATGTCACTATTAAATTGATCAAATGGTATTGCATTAAAAGGCAAATTATTTGTCAAGAAGTCCTCAAGCTCTAATAAAATATTTTCAGGTCTTATAACAAACCATTGTGTATAGTAGTAAACTGCCTATTTTCTTAACATTGGTGCTGATAAACTATTTAAGCGAATATTAAGTTTCTTTAGGCCATATATAGAGTGAAGTAACCAAGACAATATAAGGAGTGGTTGTTCCCATTGAGCCCACCGTCTCTCTAAACGTGACAACATATGTAAACGAAATAGTGAATCAGGTCTTCTTTGTATAGTGCTTAGTATCCATGCATAATATTATATAAACGAGCTAATTCATATTGAAGCTTATTAAGTAAGACACAAAATGGAAGAAGAATTTCATTAAGCTCTTTTAAATCATTCCAAAATATTGAATCTTCAATAATTTAAGCTATATCAGTTGTAACTTTTTTATTATTCAGATTATCTGAATTTTCTAAACTAGTTACAAGTACCTATAAAATAAAAAAATATTATTATTATAATAAATTTATAAACTATAAATTAAAGAAAATTAATATTACTATTAGTGCACCTTTTGATTTTAAAATGCTATAAAAACTATTGTAAAAAGCTGTTTCATCTTGTATCACAAGGTGATGTTAAAGCAAAAGCTTTTCCATTATAAAGATTCATTTGCTGATTACAAAGTTGTCCTAGCAAATAAGTAGATGGATTAAAACAGCTAATAATATTTATAGCTTGATTTGAAACTTTTTTATATTTTTCTGAAGATTTGAAAATATCTCCAACACACAGATTTGCTTGATGAGCGAAACAGGGTAAGAATATAATATTTGTATATTGAGTACATAATTCTTTCCTAATTTAAAAAATAATTAAACTAAAATAATTAATAACTAATAAACTTGGATATATATCTTGATCTAATATTTTCTCCTGCTGAGTCTGAAACTATACCTATTATATTAATTCCTTTTGCTGTTAAATCTTTAATATATTTTCCTGTAAATATGTTTACATTAATAGCACAACTTCTTTCTGAGCTAATATCTTCAGCATTCCATGCAAGTGCTTTGCCTTTAGAAGTAATAAGTACAGCACTCATTATTTTTGTTTAACTACATTTTTCCACCTATCAAATTCTAAGGTATCACCGATTGGATCTTCTTTTGCCATAATTTCAAACTGCTCTTTTGTAATAGCAACTTCTTTTTTTAGAATAGACCTACTTAATTTACGCCTTGAAGGTAATTGAATAGCAGGATTAACAAGCTTAAATGCTGCTACAATATCTTCATCTTCTATCCATCTAAATGATATTTCATTTGTTACTGTACCACGAATTATATGTCGTTCAAATTGTTGTTGAATATTATCAGCTAATGGATAACATATATAATTGCTAACATTTGTTTGTTTTTTTCTTTTAGAAGAGTTGATAAGATTTTGAGATACTATTAAAATTTATTTAATATTAATTAATAATTGTTATTAATTAATTTAAAAAGTTTAATTTAAAATAATTACTTGTTTGTTTTATTTTTTTGTAGAGTTTACTTTTTCATTTGATTCATAATCAGATTCTTGTGAAGCTTCTTTATCAAGCTGTAAAATTTTTTCCAATTCTTCTTCGATATATTTTGATGCAAAATGCAAACAAGATTTTAAATGATTATAATATAAATTTGCTTTGTTGGTTATCTTTGCAGCTTCATCACCTAAATCCTCATAGCAAGCATGACATATGACTGCCTTATTGCTTTTATTTGCCAACTCATCAAGTATTTTAAAGTAAATAGACCATTTAATTAATATAATAGTAATGATAATTTGTCGAAATTTTATCAGTTAAATAGATAATTTAGCACAATATTTAACAATTTTTATCTATTAGTAGAAATACAAATTGTTTTGTTAATATCAATTAACAACTATCAATATTAATATAATGAATTAATTTAATTACTTTCACTTTTTCGATATAATTAAGTATTTAACTATATTAGTATCATGATTGTTAATGTACATTGTATGAGGCAGTGTGCATACTGCAATAGTATTAGTATATGCACTGCCTCATGCTATGGGCGTTACAATTACGATACTAATTTGGTTAAATATTCAATAATACCAAAAAAAATAAAATTGTAAAATAAATTATGTTGATATAAGTTAGCAGATTTTAAAAAAGCAGCTAAGCAACACAGGTTGAACCAACAAATATCAGGTGCATACTGGAAAACAAATTTTCTGTTATGTACTTATCTAATAGTCTGCTGAATATCAGCAGCATATGTATAACATATTGGTAAGATATTAGGAGGTAGATCGATATCAGTAATATAACAAAACAATATTAGCATACCCTGATATCCTAATATCGATCTGCCTCTCGATATCTTACCAATATTTTGCCAATATGCTGCTATTATTCAGCAGTTATTTGGTGGATCTATGGTAGACTATCAGGCACATAACAGGAAACCTGTCTCCTGATATGCACCCAATATTTATTGATTCAACCCATGCAAGTGTGTATTTATACATAGCAGATTTATAATATAGATAATTATTAAGTATAAAGAGACTAAAAACTTTATATTATATAATAGTGCATATAAATTTAGACAAGTACTATATAATTATAATTAATTACTAATTTAGATACAAAATGAAATTACTATTAACTATTTCATTGTTAACAGAATTCAATTTAAAGAAGAATTCAACTATTATCAAACAAGATTCATATCTGATTCTTCTAACCTAGATATATCTTTTTATTCGATGCTAACTTGAAACTTTATATTAATTTTACCTGCTTTATGCAGTATGTAAGACTACTAACAGATGCTAATATGTATTGTAAATTTAACAGATAAAATAAATATCGGGTATAAAACATAACTGTATTGATATGAAACACTAATTTAAACAAACAAGAAATTTCTAAATGTATATAGTACAGAGTGTAAAATACCTCTTTAATAAACATATCATACCAATCCACTATCATTTTTTAATACTAACTCTAATAATACATAATGTCAGAATAGATATTAAATATAAGGTATTTCACACCCCATACTATACAGAACTAGTCATACTAATCTGTATAATTAGAAATATTCTTGGCAGATAATAATTATACAGACTTTATTAGCTAGCTACTGAGATCGTGCATAATGTACTATGATTAATTAAAGCAATCCTTACTTTAATTTTGCTAAAGATTTATATTGCAAAATGTGGATAATAAATTTTAGCCAACCAGAACAAGTCTATGACAAAAAAAAATAGGTTTAACCTTTTTTTCATCGAGATAATGAACCTACTTATCGGGTAAACTACTTTTTACAAATTATAAATTGAGCTTCGATCTATTAATTATGTGCTTGAGAGAATTTTAAATTAATACAAATAAAACTTTAAACGAGAAATTAATTAATATAATATTAAATTGATTAAATAAGGAAAATATCATGTGAAACCCAGAGTTTTGTAGACTAATTTCAGCCTAATAAAGATCTTTAGATATTAATACTTGTATGGCTTCTTTAAATACTATATTGTATTAAGACCATTATTACTGTAACTATGAGTCATAGCACAAGCCATGGCTTCAATAACTATGGCTTAATCTTCAAGAAAATGTTTGTTTATCATAATCATCTTCATAACCATTCTCTAAAACTGGCTTCAGAATAAACCAGTTAACAGTAAATCCATATTTGATTAATTCAATTCCAAAGGACAATAAAAAAAAACATTGATCATCATTCACTTAATTGAGACAAAAACTTGTTAAATAGAAGTTAATCGTTCATTATGATTAAACAAATTCATACTATATATATAAATATAGTGCTAAGTTATGCAATATCATGAAGTTTAAATGCAGAATTTTATGTAATATTGCATTTAATGCATTATCTAGTCAATTATGAGATTTGTGGATACATATTACTAAAAATGCCGTAAGCTATATACTTTGTAAAATTACGTATCATTCATTTTTGGTATAAACTTGGTGAATAACAAGATCTGAAAAAAATTCAAGATTTGGTAACTTGGGGATGGCAAGACTTGGAATTTTTAAAAGCTTGGAGATTTGTTGAAAAGAAAATTTTAAATGAAATCTTTAAAGGATACAGATCCAGTAAAAAATGACAAATACTTACAATATATACAATATATATATACAATATATACCAATATATATTTTTTAGAGTTATAAAGAATATTAAGAATATTAATAAATTCGGAGTACTTATAGGTTTGTTTATGTAATTTCTAAATTTGTACAATTACATAACACATTATTTATTAAATGAAGGTTACATTTTTAGATAAGATAAAGAATAAAGAATAAAGGTTAATGTTTCTCCGTATATGAAAAGACTGTTATAGAAAATTTTACAATCAATATGATTAAAAAATATAGTACAAATTTAGTCATGTTTTGAAAAAAAATTAAGACTACATAACTACTACGTACTTAGCAGAAACTTGAATTTTTGCCATTTATGATTATCATATAATAGTTATATAACTATTATATAATAAAAATATGATAAAAATATTTTAATAAAAAAATATAATAAATATATGATAAACATATATTAAAAGTATTATTATAATA